GTAAGTTATTATTATGTACCTTTTGGTTTGGACAACGACCGAGGCCTGCTATCAGGGCCTTTTCCATTGACCCCTCCCCTGCTCTTGACAGTCTTCCCACCGCCTGCCCGACTCAGACACGCCTGCACACTGGGTGGGTTTCTGTGCTCGCTCGTCGGGCTACAGCCTAGAGCTGAAGGACAAAGAGAGAGAGAGAGAGAGAGAAAGAGAGAGAGATGGATGAGAGAAAGAGGAGAGAGAGAGAGAGAGGAAGAGAGAGAGAGAGGAGAGAGAGAGTAGTAGTAAAGAACATTACAACATCTTTTCACAAATGGAAATTGAAGAGCTGATGATGACAGATTATTTGACAAAAAAAACAAGCATGATGTAATGTGTTGTGTAAATTGTTGACAGCATTTCATTTGTTCTCCTCAGACAGGATAACAGCAGGAAATGAGGGGAGAGAGATGGTGAGTGACATGCAATAAACGCAATGCAAAAATACACACAAGAGCACATTTCTAGATACATCGTCAATATACAGGCACCAATACTGGTGGGCATATATACAGTAGTTTCTCAGATGATTTCATTTTTGATATCGGCCTATTTTTGCATTACAGGCATACATTTTCTTCCTCAGTTACAGAGGTTTGTTTGTTTGTTTGTTTGTTTGTTTATTAAGCCGTTATTTTCTTCCTGGGGTCCACATAGTTTACATGGTGACAATACCATCAAACTGTACACACGCACACTATTCATCACAACACACTCATACAACATATAATAATGCCCATATACTGTAATATATACTGTAAACAGTAAAAATTGACAATTTATAGACAAACACAAAAAATAAAAAAAGGCTGACTCCGAATGAATGTATCATGACCTACCAAACAAATATCATCATGATCTCACAGATAAATATCATCATTTCACCATTTATTGCCCATGGAACCATGGAAGTGATACATTGTGGATGACATTCTTGTAATCTTTTTCTTTTTTTGCATAAAAAAACCCTGTAAAATATTCACTACTCAAACCCACTGTTTCCAAAGATACAACACCATGTATGACAAAAAACATGTTGTGAACTCTTGAGTACAAGTGGTTACATCTGATAAATCAATGCAGACAGACAGACAGACAGACAGACAGACAGACAGACAGACAGAGGTCTAGAGATGAATGAATGCGCTACAATGTTTTATTTAACTTTGAAGGCTATGAATTATTATCAAAAGATTCCAGTTTGTAGGCCTGAAGGATCACTGTGGCTTTCCATTACACAATGGACCCCACCTCTGCCAACATACTGTATCAGAATCCTCTCAGTGTGTCTTACTGACAATCACATCAACCAATCATTTTTATACACAGGGCATACTGTATATATTTATTGCTGCAAATACATTGACGATAAACAGCTGCAGGCTAAATGTTAGAGAGTGTCAGACGGTTCAGTTGATTATCCAGCTAATGATCCAGTTGATGATCAGCTCCAGTGAAGGCGTTTACCCAACCAGCTGGCCACAGATGGTACAACATCAGTGTTTAGATATAGCAGACAGGCTGATTTAATGGAGCGACGGGCAGTGTTTATAGTAGCCTGAATCTACTTCTCTTTGACCTCACAGCACACACACATACATGCATGTAAAACACATGCAGCCCAGTAAGGCAAATGGCCATATATGGTACTAAATTGCCAGGAGCCAGGAGCTGCTCTTATTATTTTACAAGCCATTAGTTCATTAGTTTCCATTTAAAGTGGTCACTTAAAGGGGTGCGTGTGATTTAACAAGTGGCGCTGATGTATGGGTTGGATTCAGAAATCGATGTAGCTTCGTGCTTGGCCAACTTGTATGAATAAACTGTGTCTGCAGTGCAGCTTAAAGAATTCAGACTTTCACAAAGAACTTCCGACTGCTTTTATTTGTATCTGTTCTGTTTTTGCTCATAAACGTCTAGAGTACACAGACAGAAGAGTCTGGTTCTCAGTGATGTAAATATGGAAAGAGACATTTTCCATTGCTGTACAATAAATTATTGATAAGAGGTCTTAATTCCTTGATAGACCCGGTTTCATGTCCCAAAATAGGTCACACTAAAAGCATCTGCATAAGATATCTTCCACCCTTCTTGGCAAATACATCAAGATTCTAGCTGAAACGATTAGTCGATTAATCGTTAAAAGTCGACTGATAAATTAATCATATATAAAAATCAATCAGCAACTATTTTCATAATTGATTAGTTAAGCCATTTTTCAAGCAACTACACAAAGAGTTCACAGTCATGCTAGCAGCTCTGTGGGGCTGAGCTAAATACTCACATTAGCATGCTTACAATACATGCTCACAGTGATGCTAACATGCTGATGTTCAGCAGCTAAGTATCAGAAGTTAGTTGAGTTTATCCTTTTGGCGCGCTAATATTTGCTAATTAGCACTAATGCTACCCAGCAACTAGTTGATCAATTGAGAAAATAAAGAAAACAGATTAACTTGATGATTATAAGTTGCAGCCCTAAAGTATATGAACAACTGGTAATTCAGTTGTGGAATGACACACGCACAAGGCATAAAACCTATGTATTATATACGGTATATGGTGTACCCTTTCAGATGCCCCTTATTTGTTTCCTCTACAGTAATGTTTATCTTGCCAATCCAGAAACAGAAAGAGAAAACAACAACCACAGAATCATATAGTGACAGTTTCTATTTTTACAGCCTGACCGTAATTAAAGACAACATCTTTAGCAACTGTCCGACTGGAAACGGTCCCACGCTGCGTTTGGGAGAGCAGACTTTCTAAAAACGGCCCCTGCAAATTACCAATCAATTCTGAAGGTGGCCTCAGGAATTTCTCTCAATTACGTGTTTGGCTTCCTTTCGTGGCCACATTAAGAGGGCGTAAAAAAAAACCTGAAAACATCTAGCAACAAGCTATGCACCATGTTGTACATCTATGGCTAAAAGTGAAGTCTCCGCCTGCAGATTGGGCTCCACATACTGCAGTTATCCTGGAAGATTGCGGGGGGTCCACTCTCCACAGCCTGGCTCTGTCTCTCCTAGGCTTGTTATTAACTGAGTCAAACACATCCCTCGGCTTTAAACCACATCTGTGCTGGGTGCTTTCACGTGAACCCAAGCAAGTTGTGCAGGCATTTGAAGTGTTACTGCTCAAGATAAGAAAAGAGAGATGTGAATAGAGATATATGTAGATAAGTCTGGATTAAGCTTGGACCTACATACTGATTAAACTGTCAGTTCCGTAGAGAAAGATTTTGAGTTTGGATTAGATCAACTATCTTCTCTACCTCTACTACTATCTTTCTCTTATATGAACCATTGGGACAATGAAGCCCAGCCAGTTCTGTCACAGTAAGAATAGGACAAACTCTACGTCCTTTCTCAGAACTGGCGTGCTTGGCAGGAATTGCTGTCCCTGGTAACACACAAATTCTGGCATCTTCTCATTAAAGCTGTCTTGGCCGCCTTGTACAGTAAATTAGTAGCAGCTAGCCGCCACCCTGCACTAAAACTTTTTATTCTCCTCCTTCATCTGCTTGACGGGGGAATGAGCCCTGTTGTCTGTATCTGAGACTTGTTGATGTGGATGATATAAAAAAAGAGGAACTTCTGCTTCACGACAACTCAGCTATGTTTTTAATCA